TCTGTTTTTTCCATCTCTATAGGTCCTAACAGGTACTGAGTAGGGTATGGATGTATTTAACTTTTGTCTGCAACAAACTGAAGCTAGGAAGCACTGCTATTCCTTGGAGATAGTGTTTTGTTCAGAAATTTTGGCGGGCTTTAAGGATTCATTTTGTGCTCTTGTCACTGATGTCTTGCCTAATATGCTGTACAAATACAGACTCGATGTGATATCCTTGTGTCTGCTGTTACTGATGAACTATCCAGAGGAATGCATTAGAAAAAGAGGCTAAATTTAATAGTTTATTTGGTAAATTTAGTTGTTTACTCTGATGCAAATTGAAAATGAGAAAATATTTGTCTTGTTTCTGCAGGTATTTTAAATGAGTTTTTGTTTTGGATAAGGCTCTGAAATTTTGTTACCTGTCTGCTACTTATATTTGCTCCTTGAGTGATTTTTTTGAGTAATTCATGGTAACTAGCTGTTCAAAAGAGGGAAGTGCCTTAAGTCAGCACAACATTGATTTTCCTCAGGGGCAGGATAGAATGGTGGTAGAGGCAAGCAGCTGCTTCTTGTTCACTTTGGCAGTGCAGATACTTGTGAATAAGCAAAAAGGAGGAAACGTAACTTAGAAATCATTAATTACAAAACGTATCCCTTGGATTTTTGGAGATATCAGTGTTACTGCCTTAAGATTCTTGCACGTGCTGACTGTGAGGTGTTGATTCCTCTTAATTTGGGATCCATGTTTTAATTTCAGCCAGGTGCATGCAGGGTGGCTTTTTCCTGGCTTTCCTTGAAAGTGCAGTGATGTGTTGGATACCAGCATCGGTTCTGTCTCCAGGGCAGAATTCCCAATATGTACAGCGGCCTTCTGGAAGCCAGGGAAAGCTGGCAGCACAATGTTGCTGTCTGTGGCTGAGATTTTCCTGGGGTTGTTTTCTGCTTAAACACACAAAAAGGTTCAGGGCATCTTGACCTGTGTTCAGTTGTTAAGGTGACAGCAGGCAATGAAGCTGATTTCTCGTTTTTAAAGTTGTAATTCATGTCTTAAGCTGTTTCAAGCAGATTGGGCATAAATGTGCAGCCATGGCTTGGCAAGTCAGAAGTACAACAGGTGCAGAATATGGTTCAAGTTTAGGAATAACTCTGGTAATTCATATTAAAAATGATGCCAGCAAATGCTTCATTGCAGTAATTGCCTGAAGAGTTGAACATCTTTTTCCTTGTGACATGATGATTTCTTACTGCTTCTTCTGTTTTTCAGTTTTCATTTAGAAGATCCCTGAAGGGGGGCATCTTTAGAATTTGTATATGTTGTCATACAAGTGATTAATAAGATGTTAGTCTCTCTGTGGATTAAAAAAAGAAAAAAAATACAGGTACAAAACCACTTAGTATATTATGTTTGTATTTTAAATGATCATTTTTGAGGTAATCTGTGCTTGCCTATGATGCCTGTGCACTTTTCAAGTCCATAGCTAAAGCACCCCTACTTACTTTCTAAGGTAGTGAGAATCATGATCCAGTGACTGAAAAACAAGGATTTTCTCCAGGCATTTTGGGGGGACGGGTGTGGAGCCACATCTATTTTGCTCTGCAACAGCGTTTCAACCTTGAGTTGTGTTACACTCCCTTAGCTTGTACATTGGAACTGCTAGAAAGTGTAAATGTTAGAACTTAAGTCTATTCAGTCAAGAAGTTCAGGGTGCCTATTTGCAAAATGCCTGGATAAACTGAGGAATGCCAGTCTGCTTTGGGGATTTTGGACTGAAGCTGGGAAAAGCTGACATCAATTTTCATGGATGGGGGGTAGGTGGGGGGTGTCCCTTGAATTCTGAATTGAGCAACTTCTGATTCTGCCATTCTTCAAAAAGGCAAGTGAAGTGAGGCAGGAGCTTTCCCACTGAATGGGTGTTACTTTGGGATCTCTCTCTAGTGTCTAGGGAATGGAAGCATCATTATCGGGGAGCCTTTCTGATGAGCCCTCGTGCTTTGGCGTGGAAATGAGCTGGAAGTTGTGTGGCACTCCCAGGGTACAAGGGTACAGCAAAGGGATTCTCTGTTAAAAGAGAAAAGTGAAATCCCCTGTAGAAATTATCTCTGCTGTATAATGCTGAGGTTCTGGGTCTCCTCCTGTGTCATGTGGGGACATAGGGTGAACTTGTAACCTTGTAACTTGTTAGGGACTTAAATAACTTGATTTACCAAACATAGCACACCCGTAATTTATTGTAACTCTGTGGATTTTTATACACTGTTGATGTGGTTAATATTGCCGAAAAAATCAGGCAGGAATCCAGTACTATTACTATTCAGGGCTTTTTGCCCTCACTGACTACTTTTTCTGTGTCTGCTATCATGGAGGTGTAAATCTCTTGCCTGAGCTGCTACAAACCCAGTTCTCAAATAACAGCTTGTTACTTTTGTTTAGTGTGTGTTTGTTTTTCTACTCTCATGGAGTTGTTGGCAGGGGTGTGCTTTCTGTTCTAAAGTTTTTGTTACACTTGCCATTTCTATGTAAGCTGTCTTTGAAGTGTAGGCATCTCTGTTCTTTCCTAGTTGCCTGAGCAGAAGTCCAGACTTCCTGGGTGTTCTGTCCTGTAGTTGTCTCTCTCAGCCTCATGTTTGACCCTGCTTTAATTGAATGCTCATGTTATGCTCTGCAGATAGCTGTCCTGAGTACAGAGTGAAAAGGTCTTATTGCTGCATGTTTGTATAGACTCTAAGAGATGGGAATTGCCTGCCATAAGCTTTCAGAACCTTATCACAATTGCTCAAAAATTCACCTGAACATGAAACCAAAGCAGGTAAAATACTGCTCAGCTCACCTAGACACTTCTTTTTGTTGTCTCACAAGGTCTTATAACGTACCTGATGGTCTTTAAGCCACGTTGTTTGGAAATGAAGCCTGCCAGCAGATAAGCTATTGTGGGCAGACCTGCATTTTTTAGGAAGACCTGCATTTTCCAAGGGGCTGGGTTTGGCCTGGAGTGCAAGCTCTCAAACGGGCAGTAAAATTTTATTTGTTCTTGATTAAAATCCATGCCTTTAAATTTCACAATTTGGCAATATGAAAGTAGTCTTACAGACCTGCCTTCAGTACCCTGAGCAAACTTCAAGTCTGGTGCCCCCAAAACATGTAAAAAGACAAGTCGTCCTGACCCAAGTGCCTTCTACCTGTCAAACAGCTTTTGTCCAAGAGCTTCATGGAAGTTTCTTCATCTGTACGAGCTACCTTACATTGCTTACTGGAAGCAAAGCCCTGTGGTATTTTGGGTATTTAATTTTTGATGTTGCTCTTTCCTTGGACACTGGTTTGCACACATAGCATGGCTGCCTTGTCTCCCCTATTCCGCCTGAGCTGTGAGAAGGTGGATTAATGTGAAATTATTTGTTATGTAATGGAATTTTATACCTTGCTTAAGTGATGATGCAAATGACCCTTGGCCTCTGTCTTTCTGTCTTCTCCATAATACCTGTTAAATACTTGACTCAGAAGTTCTGTATCTCCCTTCTTGAAAACTGGAAGCATTGCTTCCTTTGTCAGCTTTCAGGAGTGTAGGCAATGTCTCTTTTTATAACAGGTTGAAAAGATTGATTTAAACTTCCAGTGATCACTGCATTTAGATTCAGTAAACTCACTCTCTTAAATACAAAGACTGCTGAAATTTTCCACTAAATTAAACACTTGTGCTGCAAACAATTCAATTGCAATCTCTTCAAAGCCTTTAGGCAGGCTTCTCTTATCTGGAGATCTTGTTTATCCCGTGGTATTTGGATAATCTCAAGACCCATTGTACAGTAACTAATGTGGAGTGCTTATCAACTGGGATATTCAGCTGTGTTGCTTTTTTTTAAATAGCATGTGGTTATGTTTAAGCAATGAAGCTGCTTACATTTCAGGTGTAGCCAAGCTGGCACTTAGAGTACTGCAGACATTTTGGGTTCAGCTATCTGTAACCTATTTGAGTATATCTTCTGCTTAAAAACAAGCAAAAAAATAGTTTTTGTATATTCCTGCGGAATTACTTTTTTACTTATTTTCTCTATCGATTTTCTCATTCAATCCATTACAAACATGGGGATTTTTATTTACTGCTATTAATTGTAAACTTAATTGAACCTTAGTTCAATTATTGAACCTTAGTTAACAAATGTAACTAACATTTAATATTATAGAGTGGCAGGACAGAATAAGAATGTATATGGATTTTTCTTGGCAGTTGTTTAGAGTATATAGCTGATAACTGTTTTGATTTTTCTTTTATTAAGTAGAGGTGCAGGAAGTTCTTCTTCCCCTCTCTCTGTAGCATTACATGTTCAAAAATTAATTTTGAAAAGTTCAATACCTTTTTTTAATGCAACTGGGGCAGTGCCACTGAAATTATTTCTCAGTGATACTCTTGATCACTTCTCAAACTCCTGAAAACCGCATTGCTTGTGAAATAAATGGTGATGAGATGACTTAAACAGCATCAGTCACTGCTTTCTATGATTGTCGCTACTGAAAATCTGCCTTTTGCTTTGCATGGATGCCTTAAGATTTCTTTGTGCTTTTTTGTTTGTTTGTTTAGGTTTTTTAAGGTGTGTTATATTTCTAAATCTTTGCCTTGCTGTGCATCCACCTTATTTCCTGGCCTCCACTTGTCTCTCAGCTAGCTACTGCCACCATGGCAACTCTTCCTCCAGCTGAACAGATGGGACATTGAGTCGAGCAGTGCACCGCTCATGCCCTGCCGGGAATCAGCTGGCGGGTTGCACTTCTTTCTGCAAAATTAAAAGCAAGCTCTGCCCAGCAGAGGCATGCTGGTTTTGAGGGTGCTCAGTTTCACAAACAGTACTGTGATCTAATAGTTGCTTGCAGAAATAAAACATAATGACTGAACAGGGATTATTTATATGCCTGAGACCTCTTCAGAGGAGCTTTGATTTTAGTGTGAAGAACTTGGCGTCAGCCAGCAGCCGGTGATTTTCTGGTAGAACGGTTGCCATCAACTTTTTTTTTTTCTCTTTAGGATGCGTCAGGATGAAACGCCACAGGCATCTAAGCACCAGTGACAGTTCAGACAATGAGAGTAAGTAATACCTGCTAGTTTTCCTTTGGTCTATCACCCCCTTGTGGTTTTCTTCTGTGGTTTGAGGGCAAAACATTTCACCTCTTAAAATTTAAAAAAAAAGGTTTCTTGATTGATTTCTTTTTGTATTTGTGGTCTTTGGTGTTCTGAATCATGTTACAGGAGGAAAATAAGGCAAAGGATCTTATAAGGGGAGTTTTGAATATACTTAGAATTTCAAGAGAGACTTGTATATATTTCTCTTTCATAGCAGGCAAGAAGAAATTTGTAAATCAAGAGAAATTTTACTGCTCAGGATTCTATTCTGTGATTCTTTTTTAAAAAAGAATCTTGTTGTCTCATGATATGCAGAGCTACAACGTTAAAATAGTTGGAGGTGGCAAGTTATTTGAGCATTAATGTGTTAGAATTATAACCAGTATATTGATCGTTATGTTGTGTCATACTGGTTCTTGATCTACTCCACTTCAATCTGTTCAACAATTTAGCAAAGTTACATTTTAAGTGTTCCTTGGCAGACATGTACCTGAATATCTTCCCATTTTATCTGCAAGAAACCCAAAACAGAACAACCCTGTGTGGCAGGGTCTTGTTTGTTTTATAAATCCATGCCTATCTAATAGCTCTATACATAATAACGATTCATTGTCATAATCACTATAAGTCATTGATGAAGTTGCTCTGCTGAAATAATATTTTGCCAGAAACATCTAAGGTCACACTATGGGGTTTTGCATCTCTCATTAGCACATTTTAGTATCATTGCTTTGTTCTTGGACGGAGTTTTTTTTTGAGCATTTTAAAATTCTGTTTTACTCTTCCTTCCACTTTGTTAGAAGGGAACTAAATGAAGGAAAGCAGTCTGTCTGCTTGTTTCTGTTTACTCATGCTTGTATTGGGCAGAGCAGAATGTACTCATAAACTTGGTGTGCTGTGGTTTTATAAAGAACGAGTGGAACAGGAGGAGCTGAAATTAAGCCTACAGACTGCCTAACAGGTTTTTTTTTGCCCACATCTTGTCAAAAATTATAATTCAAGAGATTGGAGTGCCTTGTGTTTTACTGGAAAAGTTAAATGAATTGAACCGAGCTATAATGATCCTTTTTAATTTCTTTTTTTTTTTAAACAGGTCCTTCCACTTCCTTTTCTTCTTGTTCTAAATACAGGAGCAAGTCAAAAACACCAGCAAATGAACAAAAGAAGCCTGCTGAGGTAAGAACTGGGTTGGTCACTGGTAGTTTTCTTTCATACAGTTTTCATGTTTCTAAGCCTTGAAGAAGTGAGCTATGAATCTAGTGCTGGTGAGTCCTTTTGTCACCTGTAAAATTCTCTGTGAACCTGCATTTTCCTCACTCTGTGAGTGTTACAGGAGCTCTGGTATTTGATGGACCAAAATGACTTATGGCATTTGCAGACAGTACCATGTAGTTTGCGCTTTCCCTGGAGTTTTAATGTAATTTTGAAATTGGTCAAAGCTGGTGTGATTTGAGAGCATAGCACAGAAAAGTGGTTCATATCGATGTGTTTGGGAAGGATACTGTCTTCTTCAGAATGAAACAGTGGGACATTTAAGTGGGTAGGATATATATATGCAGTGTTTGCTCTGCTGCTTTGTTACTCTTGGCTTTTTACAGTGTAGCTTTTTTGTTTACTCTGCCATCTCCACCTGTTAGAACCTCAGCACTTACGGACCACTGTCACTGGACCTGTACTGGCCCATTTAATATGGTCATAATAATGTCACCATAAATAATGACATTTATGCACAATCCGGTGCCCAAAGCCATCTTGTCAACCATTCCATTGATAGCCCCTCTTAGTGGAAGATTTGTTGGCTACCTTCTCCAGATTTTATGCTTGCTTTCTTAAGGGCTGAAGTCAGATACTAACTGTAAATTGGAGATATATTTCTTGTAACTTATTCCCCTTACTTGTTATCATATTGCCTCTGAATGAGTCCTTCAGAATTTCAGTATGACTGCTGAAAAAAGACTGACAAACCCCACTTTATTTCAGAATTTCAAGTTATGTCCCAAAAATTATTCACTATACCAGCAGCTTTTTACCTGAGTGGTAACTGCTGTGCAGGGTTGTGTGAAATATGCAGATTGTGTTCCTACAGCTTGAGCTATTCAGCAAACATGCTTCATGCGTCTTTTCTAAATGCTGTTAACTAGGTGGGTTTGGTGTGGTAAGAACAAGGTAAATGATACAGAATGTGTCATTTCTTTGGAAGCTTAATTCTTATTGCAAGTCAATTCAAGAAAACTCACTCATTTCTAAAAGAAAATGCAAGAACGTTCTAAAAAGTAAAATTGGCTATAACTAACTACATAGTGTTTTATTTGCAGCCACCAAGAAGGTTAAGAAAAACCGATTAAGCTTTATGCCTTTAAGATGTTGTTATGATGATTATAGTTCTGTAAGAATTTAAATCTTAAAACAGCTTGTGGCTGCTGAGGTCTTGTAAGTGTTGCTCATGTGTGCCTAGGCAGTAGCTTTGTTACCAGCCAAGCTGTGCACATGGGAGCTGAAGCACATCTATTGCCAGGCTTGTTGCTGTTTCAGATACACCTCGGTTCTAGCCCCTTACATCCCTTCTTTCTGCCCAGCCATCCAGTTTTCTTCTTGTATCTCTTAATCTTAGGGACTTAGCCTTCTTTGAGTTTGCTCCATTCTTTCTCCATGTGCATATGTACAATAAAACAATAATTATGAAGATGTAGTCCAGCTATGTAGCATACAAGTGTTCTGTTTACATAACTTCTAGGAGTTAAAATGAGCAGTGTTTTCAGTTCCTCCTTTTGAGACCATCTTTGCTGCCTTTTACCAATTTCAAGGCAAAATTTTGATTCCTTTAATGCTTTGAAGAACAAAATCTGTAATATACACTTGAAATTTAAAAAGTGTGTTTCATAATGTAATCCCTCTAGTAATACTGGAATTTCTTTGTCATGTTTGATTTAAGATTCTCCTCCTGAGAGAAAAAAACAAGGAGAAAAAAAGAAATCCCAAACTTTAGAATATATCCTCTTTGAAAAGAGTGTCCTGAGTACAATATTTAAAAGATCCCTGAAACAAATTAAGTTCTCCTGGAAAGGGAATGGAAGGGAAGGTGACAGTAGTATGTACCTCTTGTACCTAGGACTTCTGGCTGTTCTTTTTACATTTTTGTTTTTGTTCTGCTAAAAGCAAGTGCTCCCTCCGACCCCTTGAAAAGCATATGCTGGGAAGTGTATTATGAAATGCTTTTGTCAGCAGAGCATTGAAATTGATTATTTATGCATCAAGTGGTGACAAGGGTGCAAAGCAAATACTGAAAAGGGACCCCACTACACACCCTTCCAAAAATCATGTTGTAATCTCACAAGCTTTTTGTAGTAGTAGTTGTCTAGTATCTATTAGATAGAAATTTAAATTTTCAGGCTGACAGCATCTCTTTAGCAAGACCTCTTTGTAACAAGTTGTCATTGCTCTCCTCTCATTCACCTCTGCTTGCCAGGCAGCAGGCTGTTTCTTGAGTTAGTGATGCAGAAAATCTAGAAGGTCAAAGCTATAAATAGCTGTTTGGGAATATTTTTGTTCATGGTCTTCATGCATTAACTTTTCTTTCATGCCAGTAAGCGTTGGTTTTTCAAATAAATTGCATGTGAATACATAGGCTTTTTTCCCCTTCCTTCAGCATCACCAACCCTACCTGAGTACCTGTGTCCTCTCCAAATAAAAGCTTGGGTTTGGTACTCCAATAAGCAAGTAGTGAGTTTATGTGCCAGTTCAGGACTTATCTAAATATGCCAGTGTCCTGTGAGGTTGCCTGTAAAAAGTGAGGAGTGGGTGCATTTGGGGACTGCTCTGCCTTGAATTGCCATCCAGGTGGGTTTGGGAACGGCCTCAGTCTGGTGTTACTGCCAGGCCAAGAGGTGTCGTGTTACAATGCAAATGTCAGGCTCATTTCCAGAGCCTGTATCAATCCCGAAGGGATGTTACTGCCTTCGACTTGGTTTCAAGTTATTCCAGTCTCCTCCTTGGAGAAAAAGGTGAGAACAAGGGAAGCCTGTAATGATGCTGCTTCAGACCATGGTGCTTCTGTATGTAATGTCAAAAGTAAGGCTGTGTTTCTTTCTTGCTGTTCCCCTTCTGGATTATAAATCTATCACAAACCACTGAAATGGTGACTTAAAAATTCTTTTATCCAATTATTTTATTTACTGTGAATAAATTAGCTGTGTTGAGGTTAGAGGCACACTAGTGATACAAAGTCATAGCTGGTTTGGAGACTTTTATGATGATGTTTAGCCACATACCATTTGTGGTGTTGCTCCTCAGTGGATTTAAACGTAGACAGGAGGGACTCTCAGGCCTCTGCAGTAGGCGGTGTGGGAGCAGCAGGGTAGGAGACATTTAGATGTCTGGCTCAGCGTGAAGCCTGTACTTGGCAGCTTCCTGTCTCCATGAAAGCTGGGGCAGAAAATGATGGCAGAGTAGTGGGAATCATTTTTGCAGGGAAAACCCATTAGCTGGACTGTCCTGAATGACTGACCATGTCTTTTCCCTTGTGCTTGCGGGGTCAGAAAAGAGCCCAAGAGATCTTCAATAGCACTCAAATTTATGTATATGTTTTTTCAATCCTGTCTCCCTCTTGAAACTGCAAAGAACTTAAGTTAGCGTTGTGCTTTTTTTTTAAACCCTTTGCATATAACTTGGTAATATTTTACTTCTCTTTGCAAATAGGGTTTTGAATCTCACAGCAAGAGTAGTTTTTAATCCTTCATTGCTGATTGTGACAGCTGTATTATCATGTGAAATGCAGCTTATCTTCCAAAAGTAAACGGTCTGCATTCATTACTTGGGTACGTGAAACTCTTTTTAGTGTCATTTAACTGCCACATAAATCGTAGATCTTGATCCTGAGAAGCACCCTGTAAGACTAGGCTCTTGGCAGCAAATTGACTCTTTTTGCAGTTTGAAAGTGTTTGTTTTTGTTCTGTGAATGAATGGGCAACGTGGTTAAACTATATTGCTTTGCATGCACCATGTGTTATAAGAGACTGTCACTTTTATGTGTGTGCTTGCCTTAGAAAATTCTGAATTATCTGGGACATATGTACAGACATCTCAAGACCTCTGGCAAGCATGCGTTATCCATGAGCTACTTTTTAGCCTGCTTGGGTTAGTTGATTTAAAAGAAAAAAGTAAGGTTGGAGGTGCAAACTCATCAGTTACTTCTATAATGCTGTATTTTTTGCGTTTGAGATACTGTCTCAGGCTATTTGAACTCTTTAGGAAGAGGTGACCGAAATGCAGGAAGGTGTGAAAGAGCTTGCTTGTAAAAAGACTGAGTTATTTTATCTTTGAAGTGAATGAACAGGCATAACAGTAAAGTATGAATGGGTTGGAAACAGCAGAACTGAAGTTCTTCAGTTCCCTCCTGTCCTTATGATGGAAGAACTGGAGAGAAAAGGCAGCTGTGAACATTGAAAAATGAGGCCAAAAGTTAGAAAATCTGTAGCAATTAAAAGGATATCCTTGTCATGCAATTAGGCTGGGAAGCTCATCTGCTACAGGAAGTTGTTGAGACTGAGAATTAAACAAGATTAAAAAAGGAATTAGACAGATGATAGCAAGTACAGATTTTTAAAAATATCTGTATAAATTAATACCACTTTAAAAATTGATTGTTAGGATTAACCCCAAAATCCAAAGTTTATGTCTGATTAGCAACCAGAAGGAAACTTGACATGTTCTTGCACATTCTTCTGGCACATGAGATACTGTCAAAGACATGATGTTAGGTAGCATTGATTTAGTATCCAATTTCCTGACTTTTCCTATACATGCTTATAAAAGGAGGCTAGGAAGATTCATGGCTACTTAAATGAAAAGTACAATATTTAATATGCTTGAATCCTGGATAATTCATTAAAATAGTTATAGGGAGTAGGGAATTTTAACATTAGGATTTAATGCCTTGCTTGTCCAAATAGTGTGGATGTTTGAGAACTATAAATTTAATTATACACATATTCCTGTCTATCACAGCATTTTGCACATTTTAAGTTTCTCAGTCCAGTTGGCATATGTGCCTGGAACTGTAGTTTCATTTCCATTTGAAATTTATGTTGCCTTTTATTGACTTTGCTGCCAAAATCCCTCAGCCAACCAAAACCCAAAGCAAATTTGCCTTAAGTTTCTACACTTCTCTGTAAGTAACT